TGACTATTTGCATCATGGTGTTGATGTTGGTACATTTATATGACCACCACTAAAACTATTTAGGAGAATAAATACTTCAACTTTTGACCTAAATGAAAGGCTTCCAAAAGTTTACAGTTGTATTAACACAATCACATGTACACAAACCAAAATGGCATAACTAAACACATTAAATCTTATGTAATTACTTACATATAAAAGTTATATCAATTTGCAGTTTGTTGGAAAATAAAAATTCTTTGAATACAGCCATAAAGGAATAAACAAACTAAAGAGATTGTTCCATTGCCTTTAAAACCTCAAAACAAATTTACAAGCTTTAATTTACAACTGGTAAATTTAAAATTTATACATTATCTGACTCTTAACTAATGAGGTAGAATAGAGAAGGGCCATCAATAGGAAAGGAACTTGAAGGGAAAATAAAATATAAAATTGAAATATCAAGTACATCTGAGTAACAACGAGTTAACACTCATTTAATAGTTGTCTGGAAATCCATCTATGGTTTACGTCCACAGAAGTTATGGAAAAATAATTACATAGCATTATCAATAATTTTCCTTACCACATTTAAACATTTACATTTTTTAACATCAAAAATATGTTTCAGTGCTCCTACTATGAATTAGGGGAACTCTGGTGATGTAGTGCCTAAGGCATCTGACCGCTAACCAGAAGGCTGCAGTTCAAACCCACCAGCCACTCCTGGGAAGGAAGGTTGGGCAATCTACTTCCATAGAGACACTGTCTCAGAAACCCAAGGAGGGATCACTATGAGTCGGGACCAACTCGACAGCAGTGAATTGAGGACTATAAATTAAAAAGGAGAAAATTAAAGAGTATAATAAATAGGCAAAATAAATATGGGCCATCATTAAATTTTCTTCTCTAATCGAAGGTTGGGCAACCTACTTCTGTAGTGATACTGCCTCGGAAATCCAAGGAGGGGTCGCTATGAGTCGGGGCTGACTCGAAGGCACTTAACAACAACAACAATCTAATAACATAAAAAAAAAAAAAAACCAAAACTTTTTTTAAAATGCAATAATAAAACTAATCTAAAGTATTAGCAAGACTAAATAGCTACTTTAATTTCAAGATTTAAAAAGCTTAAGTTTATATAGTTGTTCAAGATAAAACATTTCTACTTCTTTCCAGTCTTACCAGTCTAGAAAATTCATGCTTAATTTACCCAGAGCTAGTTTTAAATAACAATAAAACTCAGAATTATACTGAAGGTCCCAATCAGCACAGGAATTGGACTTGTGCTATTACTGTACCAATAATCATTTTTGTTAGCATCCTCTACTGGTGGTTTCCAAAGACAGCAGGGAGAATGGTGCTAACCACAGAAAGATATGTACCTGGTATTCCATCTAAAGTGAATTAATCTGTATGTAATCATTAGTAACTAGAGCACATTTTGCAAATAAATAAGAAAACCACAGAAAGTAAAAGTAGAAATGAGAAAAGAGAAATCTTTAAAATACAACAAAATGTCAAATTATATACGATAAAAATCAATTTAAGCAATTCTAAAGTCAGTCCTTTATAGATAACAAACATCATTACCATAAAGTTACCACATAAGGTTTGGTGCTTTGGCCAAACCTTGCTCTACTGGTTTACTCCCGTCAAGTTAAATTATTTAATACTTCCATTAATGCTCTACCTTGCAGATATATTCCAGAAAAGAAATTAAAATGTTTTACTGGAGGCTTAGCATAATAGCTGCATATTTTATTTCAAAATGAACAAAAATATTATTTACTATAATAACATGAAGTATTTCTATGAATTATCTATCACTACATACATCACTTATGCCATCATTAAAAAGATTTAAGGGTTAACATTTTCCAGACAATTCTCTCAAATAAACACCTACAACTCAAAATCATTGCGTTGCTAAGAAATATTAACCAGTTACCTATCCTAAGATTTCACAGCACAATGGTATATAACTTCATTTTTAATTTGCAATATATAAGCCTAAATCAAATAGCATTGCTATAATCATCAGCAATGGATGAATGCATTTGAGAACAAAAAGAAATACAAGGATACAGCCAAAAATGATGAAAATGGAAGATACCTGTAATAGTACAGTACTATCCTAAACACCTTTTGTTTTCTGAGAGTAATGCATACTGCAGACAAGGCATTTTGTGCTAAACAGCTCACAAATCTGTTTTTCTAATATTAAACACAAAGGAAAAACACTGACAGCAAGCGTGGTAAATAAATCCCTCCCTTGAGAATGAAAGCAGCAGACAGGAGGGGGCTGACATACATGCAGGAGAAAACTAAACACCATCTTTTTTCTACCTGCACAAGTTGCCATTTGCTGCAGCGATCAAGAGTCTCTTTTTTCTGTTGATTTCAAGTACCTTTCAGGATAGCTTTTTTTTCCCTTAAGTCATCTGTTGATATGCCTTGTGAGTGTAAAATTCGTATCACAGGATCTTTAGGAGAAAAATCCACTTTCCTGTTCAGGTAAACATGTTTACAGCAGCTGCACAGACGCTGGGTGGTTCAGACTCACATGTCACACACATGTCGTCAGCAACAAGAAAAGCCCCTTTCTCTGGCTATCAACATTTTAAATAAGGTAACAAGCGAACAGCCCTTTCCAAACCAACTTACCTTTCATAAAGCCACATCAGCAACAGCAGCAACAGCTCAATAGAGAACACACACCATTTGACGTTAAAACAGGAAATTAAAATTGCAATAGCCTATGCACGGCTCCTTGCTGTAACAAGTCATCGCTCCACAATGAAGATACCAAGTATACCTTTAAATCATAACTAATAGACGTTTTTAAAACGTAAATGTTTATTTGAATAACAAATTCATTAAACCAGTGATTTAAATGTCGGCTCAAATGTATTAAAAATAGGTTTACGATCAGAAGGAAACATCTTGGAACAGCTTAAAATCTTCGTATCTGCTTCTAGACAGGAAATCCCACACAAAATCTAAAATTGCCAGGAAAGGTTACAAAACCTCGCGTTTTGCATCCCAGAGGGGAGGGAGAAAAAGAGCAGGCGCAAGGGGTGGGGGTGGGAGAGCGAGAGAGTTTTTACTTAAACACGTATTTCCTTATTTTCTGAGCGATACAGCGATTCCATTATATGAGCATTTATTTCCCCATGCTTAAATTCCCTTCAATAATAACGCTGGAACCAGAATAAGCCCCTAGGTCCGAACTGTAAGTGTAATTCCTTATATAGACTCGGTCGCAGCCGGCAGGCAGGGCAGAGGCCCGCGGGCTGTTACCGCCCATTATTATACAAACAGGTACCGAGGCGGAGACAGGAGCCAGGGCACCTCGCCCGAGACGCTCTCCGCCGCCCGCGAGCTGAAAAGTCGTGTCCCTCTTGCCAGATGAACTAACCAGACAATAAAAATCAGCAGACACTTCGCTGTTGAAGAAGAGGGAGAGAAAAGGCAGAATCACCACCGAGATAAGCAGAAATACAATCAACTTAACAACGTCTCTCCAAAGTGGAAAAGGCGACTGTTCAACAACCACATGTTCAGGGTTCGCTCTCTTATTATTACTATTATTTTTAAACTCTCACGCCAGGCAGAGAGGTGTTTTCCCTACAAATCAGCACAAATCAATAAGCGCTGCTGCTGTAGCGAGAGCAGCAGAAACGTAGGTCTGTCGGTCCGTCTGCCCCCTCCCCCCACTCTTCCTTTCCACCCAAGACAAGAGCGCCATCCAAGCTCTATTATCCGGCTTCAGCGCTCCGTGCGTCGGGCCCAGGTAACAACTTCCCCAAAAAACCGAAAGAGAAAAAAGAGAGGCGTACGCACAAAACCCCAGGCCAGCGCGGAGATAAGTCTTTAGTGGGGAGGGGGGAATCTGTGGTGCTTGCTTTCCTGTCTCTAACACCTGGTAACAACTCCACAAACACATCCCGGTGCCGAGCTAGCCGCCATCCAGAGGTTTCCCAGGAAGCAGCAAGTAGGTGACCGTTCCTGCCCCATCTCCCCCTCCCGCCCCTATCACCTCCCCACAAAATGTGGACATCACAGGTCTTGAGAAACCCAGCTTCTTACTCGCGGGGCTCAACGCGGAGCCTTCAAGCCGGGCCGCTCCAGCGCAGGGGTGCCACAGGACAGGATGACAGGGGAACGCGGGGGGAGGAGGGGAGCTTAGGGACCCGCGTCTCTCGCGCCTCTAATCCGTATTCTGCGAGCGCGCAGCTCCAGGGTCACAACTTTACCGCCGCCGGCCGAGTCCGGTCCGCTGCGGCGCGCACAGCCTGGCGCCCGCGCACACACGCGCACACGGACACACACACACACGCGCCCGCGGGCTGCGGGGACCTTGCGCGAGCGCCGGCGGCCGCCCCGTCCCACGCCCCGCACCGCGCCCCGCAGTCCGCTGGGCGCCCCCGCCGGTCGGTCCCAGCCGCGGGGCCCGAGCGACGGCCACTAACTGGAGCCGCGGGCCGCGGAAGCCACTTTCCACGGGGTCAGCGCGGGGAACAAGTTTGTTACTCGGCTCCCGGGGGCCTCTGCGCTGAGGGAGAATAACGCTGAGGGGGGCTAGAAAAGAGGGGGAAGAGGGGAGGCGCTGAGAGGAGAAAAGAGTGGGGAAAAAGTGAGAAAAGAAGCAACAGCCGCTCCACCCGGGACCAGAAAAGTGCCCCGCCGCCTCCTGGCCGCCCTCCCTGCCGCTGGGGATGCGGCGGCGGCGACCGCTAACGGTCCAGGGAGGAGGCAGGGGCGGCAGGAGCCGCTAGGCGGAGAGAGACCAGGTAAGAGACATAACGGTTCAGGGAGAGCGAGCAGCCGCGGCGCGGCTCGGGCAGCGGCGGTAGCGGAGGGGGGCAGAGAGCACTACTTTCTACTTTCCCACTCCACTTTGCCCGTCCCTGCCCCGGCCGCCCCTAGCCCTGCTCGCCCCCCTCACCCCCGGGGGCGCCCCGGCTGCCCGGCTCCCCTGACTCCGCCGCTCCCCGGTCCCCTCCGCCACTCACCGTTATTGCGCCGCGGGTTCGCCTGCTTTCTGCGCTTACACCTGGGGCCATCCGCCATGATCCTCTCG